CGCCCGGCCCGTGGGCAGGTTTTCACCAGTGGTTTTATAAACACTGTGGAGTGGACAGTAAGGGGGGAGGTACAGGGCGGGGGACAGATAAAAGTGCCATCACTGCCCTAGCGCTCTCGTCCCCTCCTGTGACACAGCCCCTGAGGGTGCTGTCGGCAGGGCAGCAGCTCGGGAGAGAATGACCCAGAAAAACAGCGCTGGGAGGGAGCTTGCTGGAGGGAAGGGTTGCCTTCCCTGTAAAATGTCCAGGTTGGGATTAAACACGATTCTGGGGAGCGGGGGAGGGGGCCATGCCCCCTCTCTCGCTCCCTCCCTCAAGTTCCCTACGATCCCAAGCTGGGGGCAGGAGGACCAAGGCCTCCTGGAAACCAGAGGCCCCTCGCTTTTCTCTCGGTGGGACCGCATTCTCGCCTGTGACACCTTCCTTCCTGCCAAGCGCCCTGCTGTTCCATGCGGGCTGTGAACACCCAGTTTTGGCATCTGTATATACGTGTCCGTGTCCACCTAAATCCAGAATTCAGTTTGGCGTTTCACTTTATGTGTTTATTTATTCAGACGGAGTTTCCCCTCTTGTCGCCCAGGCTGGAGTGCAGTGGCGCAATCTCAGCTCACCGCAACCTCCGCCTCCCGGGTTCAAGCGATTCTCCTCCTTCAGCCTCCCAAGGAGCTGGGATTACAGGTGCCCATCACCACGCCCGGCTAATTTTTGTATTTTTTTTAGTAGAGACAGGGTTTCTCCATGTTGGTCAGGCTGCTCTCGAACTCCTGGCCTCAAGTGATCCGCTCGCCTCAGTCTCCCGAAGTTCTGGGATGACGGGCGTGAGCCACCGCGCCTGGCAATAGGAGCTTCTTCTCTCACAGTTCTGGAGTCTGGAAGTCGAAGCTCAGGCAGGTCCAGCTTCCTTTGGGGGCTTTCGGGGAGACCCTTTCTGACTCTTCCAGCTTCCAGTGGTAGCTGGCCATCCCTGGTGTCACTTGACTTGCGGATGAATCACTCTGGTCTCTGCCTGTGCGGTGACTTGGCCTTTGCCTGTGTCTCTGTGTCCAAATTTCCCTCTTATAAAGACGCCAGTCATTGAATTAGGGCTCCCCCTACTCCTGTGTGACCTCATCTTAATGAATTACAGCTGCAAGATACAAACTGTCCTCACGTACGTACGATTCATCTCTGACATTAAGCAGTCTCCCGGGGCTCCGCGTCTGTTCGCTCTCCGCTTAAATTCTTGAAAGGCGCTGGGAAGGCAGGAGCTGCCTTCGCAGATATTTAGCAGATGAGGATCGACGGCCAATGGGAACCGTGAAGAGACACAAGGCCTGGTTTGGGCCAAGGGGCCTGGGGGGATGCCTAGCGGGGCTCAGCTGCTAAGATGCCAAAAATAGCCGCTGGCTGGCGGGCGAAGCAGCCAAGCAGAAGAAGCTGGGCAGTGCCGCCTGGTAGCTCCAGCTCCGTCCTCCCGCTCCCTCCAACCCCACCTCTACCTGCCACCCCAGCCCCCAGAATCCGGGCTGCAGCCAAGAAGAGAGGTAGGGGTGCAGCAGGCTCCCAGGAGAGATGGGAAGAGCCCAGGACGCACAGCCACCGGGACCCACGGAGCATTGGTACCTGTTCCTCTGGGCCACCACGGCTCCATGCCATCTGCCCCCCACCCAGAGGCCCAGCTCCCCGCCCCACTCCACCCTCTCCCTTAGCTTCTCCAGATGCCCGCCACACCTCAGGGCCTTTACACTGGCTGTTGCCCCAGCCCACACACCCTCCCTCCAGAAATCCACGGGCTCTGTTCTGTTCAACCCTTAGCTTCTCCAGATGCCCGCCACACCTCAGGGCCTTTACACTGGCTGTTCCCCCAGCCCACACACCCTCCCTCCAGAAAACCACGGGCTCTGTTCTGTTCCACTTTTGGGTCGGCCTGTTTCCTGCCAGAACAAGGCGCCGCAAACCCAGGGAGCTTAAAACAACCAAAACATACGCTCTCCCAGCTCTGGAGGCAGAAGTCCAAAATCAAGGTGTCCGCAGGGCTGGGGGCCCTCTGGAAGCTCCCAGTGAGCGTTCTTCCTGCCTCTCCCAGCTTCCCGGGGCTCTCAGCAATCCCTGGCTTGTGGCTGTGTCACCCTAGCCTCTACCTCCGTCTTCACACGGCTGTATTTCCCCTGTAAGGGGCGAGGTGTGTGGCCAGGTCTCCCTGTTGTTGGAAGGACAGGATTCGTTGGAAAAGGCTCACTGTAACCCACCACAGTCTCATCTAAACTTGAGTGCATCTGTAAAGACCCTGATTCCAAATGAGGTCCCGTGCACAGCGGGTACGGAGGGTAGGACTTGAACATACCTTTTTTTTTTTTTTTCCACCCTTGAGACAGTCTCACTCTGTTGCCCAGGGCCTGGAGTGCAGTGGCGTGATCACGGCTCACTGAAGCCTCAACTCCTGGGATCAAGTGATCTTCCCACCCCAGACCTCCCCCCCTCCGCAGTTAGGACTATAGATGCACACCACCACGCCCAGCTAATTTTTGTATTTTTAGTTGAGACACGGTTTCCCCATGTTGCCCAGGCTGGTCTCAAACTCCTGACCTCAGGTGATCCACCACTTTGGCCTCCCAAAGTGCTGGGATTACAGGCGTGAGCCACCGTGCCTGGCCTTGAACATATCTTTTGCAGGAACACAGTTCCACCCACAACAGGGTCTGAGATCAAATGTCATCTCCCTGTCTGTGGATGGGCCTGTCCTGGATATTTCATAGACATGAGATCACACGGACGGGCGCGATGGCTCAAGCCTGTAATCCCCACACTTTGGGAGGTCAAGGCTCCCAAAGTCAGGAGTTCAAGACAAGCCTGGCCAACACCGCGAAACCCAGTCTCTACTAAAAATATGAAAATTAGCTGGGTGTGGTGGCAGGCGCCTGTAGTCCCAGGTACTTGGGAGGCTGAGGCAGGAGAATGGCGTGAACCCAGGAGACGGAGTTTGCAGTGAGCCAGGATCACAGCCACTGCACTCCAGCCTGAGCGACAGAGCAAGACTCTGTCTTGAAGGAGAAAGAAAGAAAGAAAGAAAGAAAGAAAGAAAGAAAGAAAGAAAGAAAGAAAGAAAGAAAGAAAGAAAGAAAGAAAGAAAGAAAGAAAGAGAGAGAGAGAGAGAGAGAGAGAGAGAGAGAGAGAGAGAGAGAGAAAGAAAGAAAGAAAGAAAGAGAAAGAAAGAGAGAGAGAGAAAGAAAGAAAGAAAGAAAGAAAGAAAGAAAGAAAGAGAAAGAAAGAAAGAGAGAAAGAGAGAGAGAGAGAGGGAGGGAGGGAGGAAAGAGAGAGAGAGCGGGAGGGAGGGAAGGAAGGAAGGAAGGAGAAGGGGAGGGGAGGGAAGAAGGAAGGAAGGAGGGAGGGCGGGAAGGAAGGAAGGAAGGAAAGAGAGAGAGAGAAAAGAAAGAAAAAAAGAAGAAAGAAAGAAAAAAGAAGGAGGGAGGGAAGGAAGGAAAGAGAAGGGGAGGGGAGGGAAGAAGGAAGGAGGGAGGGAGGGCGGGAAGGAAGGAAGGAAAGAGAGAAGAAAGAGAAAGAAGAGAGAGAAAAAGAGAGAAAGAAAAAGGAAGAGAAAGAAAGGAAAGAAAAGAAAGAAAGAAAAAGAAAGAAAGAAAGAAAGAAAGAGAGAGAGAGAGAGAGAAAGAAAGAAAGAAAGAAAGAAAGAAAGAAAGAAAGAAAGAAAGAAAGAAAGAAAGAAAAAGAGAGAAAGAGAAAGAAAGAAAGAGAAAGAGAAAGAAGGAGGATCACACGATGTGGCCTTCTGTCACATCTCTCACTGAGCATGGCATCCTCAAGGTGCATCCTCACTGTGGCCTGGGTCAGAGCCTGGCTCCCTTTGGTGGCTGAGTCGTGTTCATGTGTGGCCGGCTGCACTGTGCTGACCCATCCATTCCTTGGTGCACACTCCAGCCTTTCCCAGTGTTTGGCGGTTATAGATGTGGCTGTGAATGTTCCCAGGTTTTCCATGCACTGTGTGTTCCATTCTCTTGTGTAAAGACACCCAGGAGTGGGCGGGCGCGGTGGCTCACACCTGTAATCCCAGCACTTTGGGAGGCCAAGGCGGGTGGATCACCTGAGGTCAGAAGTTTGAGACCAACCTGGCCAATATGGTGAAACCCCATCTCTACTAAAAACACAAAAATTATCCAGGCGTGGTGGCGGGCACCTGTAATCCCAGCTATATGGGAGGCTGAAGCAGAAGAATCTCTTGAACCCAGGAGGTGGAGGTTTCAGTGAGCCAAGATCAAGCCACTGCACTCCAGCCTGGACGACAGAGCGAGACTCCATCTCAAAAAAACAAACAAGCAAAAACAAAACAAAACAAAACTCCAGGAGATTGGAATTGCAGCCACACAGTGGATCAATGCTGCTTTTTTTTTTTTTTTTGGGGGTTGGGTCTTCCTCTGTCCCTCTGTCTCCCAGGCTGGAGCGCAGTGAAAAAATCACAACTCACTGTGGCCTTGACCCCCTGGGCTCTAGGAATCCTCCTGGCTCAGCCTCCTGAGTAGCTGGGACCACAGGTGCAGGCCACCATGCCTGGGTAAACTTCTTAAGATTTCACAATTACTTGCAAACCAGCTAATTATTATTATTATTATTATTTATTTTGTAGAGACAGGGGTCTCACTGTGTTGCCCAGGCTGGAGTGCAGTGGCACGAGCATAGCTCACTGCAGCAGCCTCCACCTCCTGGGCCCAAGTGATCCTCCTGCCTCAGCCTCCTGAGGAGCTGGGACCACAGGCCTACGCCACCACATGTGGCTCATCTTTTATTTTTTTGCAGAGATGGGAGTCTTGCTATGTTGCCCAGGCTGGTCTGGAACTCTTGAACTCAAGCAATTATTCCATCTCAGCCTCCCAAAATGCTGGGATTACAGGCGCCAGCCGCTGTGCTGGGGCGGGTTAGGGGTGGGCTGGGTGCGGAGGTGCCGCGGAGGGGGACCCGGTGCTAACGGTGCTAACGTTGCTAACGCTGCCCGCTCCTCACCCGCCCGCAGGTGCGCAGGAGGATGGTGGCGCGGCCCTAGGCCCACGCTCCGCACCATGACCTGCTGGCTGTGCGTCCTGAGCCTGCCCCTGCTCCTGCTGCCTGCGGCACCGCCCCCGGCTGGAGGCTGCCCGGCCCGCTGCGAGTGCACCGCGCAGACCCGCGCCGTGGCCTGCACGCGCCGCCGCCTGACCGCCGTGCCCGAAGGCATCCCGGCCGAGACGCGCCTGCTGGAGCTCAGCCGCAACCGCATCCGCTGCCTGAACCCGGGCGACCTGGCCGCGCTGCCCGCGCTGGAGGAGCTGGACCTGAGCGAGAACGCCATCGCGCACGTGGAGCCCGGCGCCTTCGCCAACCTGCCGCGCCTGCGCGTCCTGCGTCTCCGTGGCAACCAGCTGAAGCTCATCCCGCCCGGGGTCTTCACGCGCCTGGACAACCTCACGTTGCTGGACCTGAGCGAGAACAAGCTGGTCATCCTGCTGGACTACACGTTCCAGGACCTGCACAGCCTGCGCCGGCTGGAGGTGGGTGACAACGACCTGGTGTTCATCTCGCGCCGCGCCTTCGCGGGGCTGCTGGCCCTGGAGGAGCTGACCCTGGAGCGCTGCAACCTCACGGCTCTGTCCGGGGAGTCGCTGGGCCACCTGCGCGGCCTGGGCGCCCTGCGGCTGCGCCACCTGGCCATCGCCGCGCTGGAGGACCAGAACTTCCGCAGGCTGCCCGGGCTGCTGCACCTGGAGATTGACAACTGGCCGTTGCTGGAGGAGGTGGCCGCAGGCAGCCTGCGGGGCCTGAACCTGACGTCGCTGTCCGTCACCCACACCAACATCACTGCCGTGCCGGCCGCCGCGCTGCGGCACCAGGCGCACCTCACCTGCCTCAATCTGTCGCACAACCCCATCAGCACGGTGCCGCGGGGGTCGTTCCGGGACCTGGTCCGCCTGCGCGAGCTGCACCTGGCCGGGGCCCTGCTGGCCGTGGTGGAGCCTCAGGCCTTCCTGGGCCTGCGCCAGATCCGCCTGCTCAACCTCTCCAACAACCTGCTCTCCACGTTGGAGGAGAGCACCTTCCACTCGGTGAACACGCTGGAGACGCTGCGCGTGGACGGGAACCCGCTGGCCTGCGACTGTCGCCTGCTGTGGATCGTGCAGCGTCGCAAGACCCTCAACTTCGACGGGCGGCTGCCGGCCTGCGCCACCCCGGCCGAGGTGCGCGGCGACGCGCTGCGAAACCTGCCGGACTCCGTGCTGTTCGAGTACTTCGTGTGCCGCAAACCCAAGATCCGGGAGCGGCGGCTGCAGCGCGTCACAGCCACCGCGGGCGAAGACGTCCGCTTCCTCTGCCGCGCCGAGGGCGAGCCGGCGCCCACGGTGGCCTGGGTGACCCCCCAGCACCGGCCAGTGACTGCCACCAGCGCAGGCCGGGCGCACGTGCTCCCCGGGGGGACGCTGGAGATCCAGGACGCGCGGCCGCAGGACAGCGGCACCTACACGTGCGTGGCCAGCAACGCGGGCGGCAACGACACGTACTTCGCCACGCTGACCGTGCGCCCCGAGCCGGCCGCCAACCGGACCCCGGGCGAGGCCCACAACGAGACGCTGGCGGCCCTGCGCGCGCCGCTGGACCTCACCACCATCCTGGTGTCCACCGCCATGGGCTGCATCACCTTCCTGGGCGTGGTCCTCTTCTGCTTCGTGCTGCTGTTCGTGTGGAGCCGCGGCCGTGGGCAGCACAAGAACAACTTCTCGGTGGAGTACTCCTTCCGCAAGGTGGATGGGCCGGCCGCCGCGGCGGGCCAGGGGGGCGCGCGCAAGTTCAACATGAAGATGATCTGAGGGGTCCCCAGGGGCGGGCCCTCCCCTCCCACCCCTCGCGGGCCGGCCGCTCGCGTGTCCACCTATGCATTTTCCGGAGGGGGCGGGGGCGGCTGCACGGCGGCTCCCCTGGCAGAACTTCCCCTTTTTTTGTAGACGCCCAACCGCAGGACTGTTTTTCATCAGCATGCGTCTTTTTGCAGTTTCTCAAGCGTTTTCTAAAGGTTTCAACCCGTCTTCCTGTCCCTGCTATGGTGGCTGAGTTGGTGGTGGGGGTGCGGGCTGCAAGGGTGGGGTGATGGGCTCCCATCTACCAACCTGGAATGACTGGGGGTGCTGAGAGACCCCAAGATCCTCAGGGCCCGCAATTCACACCCAGGAGGCACAATTCTGCTGCCCCCAAGCCCTGGGCTTCCGCTCCCCCAGCCCTTTACACACAGATCACACCGGGGAGACGGTGGACACCCAAGACCCACAAAGGACCCTACAGCCCCAAGGGGAGGGTGCTCAGAAAGTCTGCATTGCTCACACCTGGGCCTCCTGCACCTCACACCCAGAGACACACTCATACCTGGAACCCAATCACGCAGGTGAAACACACCTCACACCCAGCCGACACTAAAACCAGACCCGGGGCGCCAGAGCTGACCACAGGGGCAGGCAGGGATCTCATGAGAGCAAAGTTCTCACCCGGGACAGGCACAGCTCACACTCAAGACACAGTTCACACCTGGGACACAGCTCACACCTGGGACAGGCACAGCTCACACCCAGGACACACAGCTCACACCCGGGACAGGCACAGCTCACACTCGAGACACAGCTCACACCTGGGACAGGCACAGCTCACACTCGAGACACAGCTCACACCTGGGACACAGCTCACACCCAAGACAGGCACAGCTTATACCCGGGACACACAGCTCACACCCAGGACAGGGACAGCTCACACCCAGAACAAACAGCTCACACCTGGGACACACAGCTCACACCTGGGACACACTCAGTTTACACTGGAACACACAGCTTACACCTGGGATGTACTCAGCTCACACCTGAGACATAGTTCACACCTGGGACAGGCTCAGCTCACACATGAGACACAGTTGACACCTGGGACAGGCACAGCTCACACTAGAACACACAGCTCACACCCGGGACACACAGCTTACACCTGGGACATGCTCAGCTCACACCCGAGACACAGTTCACACCTGGGACAGGCACAGCTCATACCCAGAACACACAGCTCACACCCAGGACACGCTCAGCTCACACCCAGAACATGCTCAGCTCACACCCAGAACACAGAGCTCACACCTGGGACACACACAGCTCACCACACCTGAAACACACACCTCACACCCGGCTGACACTAAAACCAGGCCCTGGGCACCAGAGCTGACCACAGAGGCAGGCAGGGCTCTCGTGAAAGCACAGCTCACACCCGCGACATGCTCATTTCACACCTGGGACAGGCACAACTCACAACTGAGACACAGCTCACACCCGGGACACACAGCCCACCCCAGCGCCTGCTCTGCTAAGCATCTCCCAGTCGACCTCAGGGCCTGGGCTCAGGTCTGCTGAGGACCCAGCACACACAGTGGTTACAGTCAGGGGCCCCCACGCCCTGTCTTCTGTCCTCCCCACAGCCCAGCAGGGCTGTCCGCAAGGAGGAGCCATTGCCCCAGCCCTCCACCTCCCTCCACTGCCACTTGCTTCTCAGAACAGTTGGCAAGAGAGGGCCACCCCACAAGGGAGAGGTAGCCACCCTGGCCCCGGCCCAGGACCATGGCTTCTGGGGTCCTGAGTGTCCCTCTAAATGGGTCTACTGGAGGGACCTTTGCCTCTAGGTACACATTGACCCCTAAGCCAGCCTCAGACAAGCCCTGAGTGTGGCCCCATCATGCCCAGCCCTGCTGACTCATGGCTCAGGTGGGGAACAAGACCAAAGGGCACAGGGAGTTCCCAGGGGGTGCCTGCTATGTGCATTGCAGAGGCAGTGACAAGAACAAGGCCAGAACAAGGGCTTCACCCTGCAGGAAGGCCTGGACCCGGGTCCTTGGAAGAATGTGATGGAAGAAACTTGGTCTCTGCACCTGCAGAGGTGGGGCAGATCTAGGACCAAAGTTGGGGTCACAGGCCAACTGCAGCTCAGGTCAAGGAAAAGCTTCCCTGAAGTCACCGCCCTGTTGCTCTGCAGATGGTGAGCTCCCCGTCACGGGGGGTAAACAAGCAGGAGCTGAGGTTTTGCAGAAGGATTCAGACACTAGACAGGGACCATAGGGACCATCTGTGACCTGGCCTTCTCATAGCCAGTTCTTGCCCCTCCCCCTCCACATCCTCCAGAGGACAGTTAGGACATTTCTGGGGGCAGGGACAGGAACCATTGTTGGGCCAAAACCTCAGTCAGAAAGGGCTTGGCTGCCAACCGAGAGGTTAGGACAGACCCTCTAGGACTTTGCAGGAAGGGCTCAAAAGCAGCTCTGCTCCTGCCCAGCTGTACGATCTCAGCTGGTGACCGAAGATCACCTAGACCATCAGTGCCCTCACCTGTAAAATGGGTCTGAGGGTGAAACCTATTACCCTGTATTCAGAGGCCAGGCCTGCCGATGGGCCTGATGGCTTGACTTGGATCCTGGATCCCTCAAGACTGCTCTGAGATCAGTCAGAGAGAAACAGAGAGAAAGCCGGCTCAGCCCTGGAGGGTTTGAGCAAAGGTTTCAGACGGAGCTGGAAGGCGGCACCGGCCCATTCTCCCTGAGCTGTGGCCGGGAGGGCCCAGGCCTGCACCACGGTGTACGGATGGTCCAGGGGGCTCGACATGAGTGAGGGTGAAGTTCCTGTAACCCCAACCGCCACCCCTGAATTGAGCAGAACCAATTTTTTTCTTAGCACCTGCCTGACTCTGCTTACCATGACAACCCCAAGGGCCCCCCCAAAATTGATATCCAAGTGCCTTTAGCCTATCAAAGACAGGAGGGGGTGCATTCTCGGTCATGTTAGGGTTCACAGAGCATCCGTATATTAGGATTTCCCAGCCCCCTGAGCTCCCCACCCCATCCCAACATGAACCAAGACCCCTCAGTCCCCCACCCCTCATCCTGCTGTATTTGGTTCAAATCCAATAAAAATGGAACCGATTTAATAACAAACTTCAGATTTTGTTCTTACTTCCAAGGGAGCAATAGGGGGCAGGGCTGAGGGATGAGGGGCTGCTGGGGTCCCCAGGGGAAGCCAACCCTGAGAGAATTCCATGCCACTAGTGACATGTGATAGGCCACACTTCTGCAGCGCCCATGCTGTTCCCAGCACTGTTCCAGGCACTGTGTGTGTGCCCTCCTTTCATGCTGAGGCCAGCCCTAGCAAGCTGGGTGGATCCTGTTAATGAACCAATTTTACAGATGGGTTGAGGGAGGGGCAGAGAATGGAGGGAAGCCGCTCTGAGACCCCAGCTAGGGACAGGTGGGGGCTGAGAAGAGTGGGCAAAGCTGGGCCATTGGGAAACTCCTTCCCCAGCCTCAGGCCAGGGAAGAAAGAAGACATGGGTCCCCGCTGTGCCTCCTGGAATTGGCCTGTCGTGGAGTCTGGGTGCTGCTGACAGGGTCCCACGTCTGCCCTGCCTGTCTCTGAGGGCTCCGAGAAAAACCAGGGAGTCTTGGCTTTGGAAGTGAGATTAATAAAGTGCTTTAGCCCGCGCCAGTCCTCACTGACAGATGGGGAGATTGAGGCACAGAGGAGCAACAGATGGGGAAGCCGAGGCACGGAGAGGCGACAGGTGGGGAAACTGAGGCACAATGGGCGTGAAGACTCAAACCCCACCCACCCAGGAAGGCACAGGGAGAAGCTCGTGCTTTTTCAGGAAGGAGGTGGACGGAACTAGAATGCAGAAGTCCCAGCCAAGAGCAGCCTCCCACTCGCCACAGCCCAGTGTTGTTCTCTGGACCTCGGTTCCCCGATTTGAACCTAGGACTAAGGTTCCTTTATTTCCCTGCCCTTCGGGGGCAGAACAGAGGCCCGTCAGCGACTGTGAGGCGGCCCTCTCTCCATGCCTGGTTTCAAGGCAGCTGGAGGGTGAGGGGGGCTCTAGGCTGTGGGACTCTCCCGTGGAGACTGATCTCCTGTTCTCTCCTGCAGCAAAGGCAGGTGAAACTATTGTCCTGTGGGCCTCAGAGTCCCCGTCCAGGAGAGCCGCCTGTTCCCTGTGCAATGCTCTGAGTGCCTGACATGAACCAGGTGCAACCTCCAAGCTTTCCATGAATCCTGTCTCATTTATGGGGTGCACTGCGGGGAGGGCAGGGGAGACCTCAGAAGAGGCCCTTCCTGCTCAGGCAGCCAAGACCCAGCTAAAGTAACACCGATCTCCTTGGTGGCTGGAAACCCAAGAGAGGGCCCCTAAAACCAGGACGGGACCAAGCCATCCTCACGCCTCATGTCTGGGTGGCTTCTGACCAAGCCTGCCTTGACTTCCCCTCCCAGACGGAGCTAGAACAGCACTCCAGGTGCCCCAGCCCACGCCTGCACCCTCGTGGGTCTCTCACCCCCATCTTCTGGACGTGGATGCGTGTTTGGGGTGTCTCTCTCTCTCCCACATCCCCCCAGCAAGCCGGCATCTTTTCCAGGTGGTTCCCTGAGCCCCGCATATTAACTTCCCTCCTGTTTCCCTCCACAAGACAGAGACACGATTCCCACATGCAAGCTTTTGCTCGTGGGGCCAAGGGAAGCTGGAGGCTCAGGTCTCTGGCTTCCATTGCTGCGTGGCCTGGGGCAAGTCCCTGCCTCTCTCTGTGCCTCGGTTTGTTTGTCTGTAATTTGGAAGATAATCCTGCAATAGGCTGGGCGTGTTGGCTCACATCTGTAATCCCAGCACTTCGGGAGGCCAAGGCGAGTGGATCACCTGTAGTCAGGAGTTCGAGACCAGCCTAGCCAACATGGCGAAACCCCATCTTAACGAAAAATACAAAAATTTGCCAGGTGTGGTGGCAGCCGCCTGTAATCCCAGCTACTCAGGAGGCTGAGGCAGGAGAACCACCTGAATCCAGGAGGCGGAGATTGCAGTGAGGCAAGATCGTGCCACTGTGCTCCAGCCTAAGCAACAAGAGGGAAACTACCTCAAATAATAATAATAATAATAATAATAATAATAATAATAATAATCCTGCAATCGTCCTGTGGTATGCACGATAAAAACTGCGTGAGTTTCCTACAACTGCAGTTACAAATGGCCACAAACCTAGTGGCGTAAAATAACTTAAAATTATGATCTGACAGATCTGGAGCCCCAAAGTCGAAAATCAGTTAGCAGGGCTGTTTCCTCCAGACATCCTAGGGGAGAATCGACTTTCTGCCTTTTCTGGCTCCAGAGCCGCCTGCATCCGTGGGCTCGTGGCCACGTCATTCTGACCTCTGTTTCGGTCATCACATCTCCTTCTCTAACCCTGAGCCACCTGCCTTCCTCCTTACAAGGACTCCTGTGTGGACACTGAGCCCCCAAAAAATGAAGATCTCCCTATCTGATGAAAGGTAGCCGAATTCCATCTGCAACCTTGATCCCCCTTACCAGACAGCTGCCTCGTCAGATTCCAGAGATGAGGACACAGGAGCTTTTTGAGGCTGTTATTCTGCTTACTAAAAAAAAAAAAACAAAAACAAACAAACAAACAAAAAACGGGTCAGGCGCAGTGGCTCCTGCCTGTAATCCCAGCTCTTTGGGAGGCCGAGGCAGGGGGATCGCTTAAGGTCAGGAATTTGAGACCAGCCTGGCCAACATGGTGAAACCCCATCTCTACTAAAAATACAAAAATGACCCGGGCGTGGTGGACGTGCGCCTGTAATCCCAGCTACTCGGGAGGCTGAGGCAGGAGAATCGCTTGAACCCAGGAGGCGGAGGTTGCAGTGAGCCGAGATCGCACCACGGCACTCCAGCCTGGTGACAGAGTGAGACCCTGTCTCAAACCAAACAGGCATTTTTCTCCAACAGGCCAAAGTCATGTGAAATCCATCAGCATGTGGCCCCCCCGCCCCGTGCTGGGGGATGCTGGGGACCCAGAGAGAATGTGGTCCCAGCTCCCACAGCTCAATAAGGGCCTCAATGAAGGGACAACTGTAGGATCTGGAGGGGCATGATCCAGAGGCCACACCACACTATGAAAATTTTTTTTTTTTTTTTTTTTTTTTTTGAGACAGAGTTTCACTCTTGTCGCCCGGACTGCAGTGCATTGGCACAATCTTGGCTCACCGCAACCTCTGCCTCCCGGGTTCAAACGATTCTCCTGCCTCAGCCTCCTGAGTAGCTGGGATTACAGGCTCAGGCTACCACGTCTGGCTAATTTTGTATTTTTAGTAGAGATGGGGTTTTACGATGTTGGCCAGGATGGTCTCGATCTCCCGACCTCAGGTGATCTGCCCACCTCAGCCTCCCAAAGTGCTGAGATTACAGGCATGAGCCACCATGCCCAGACTTTTTTTTTTTTTTTAAATGGAGTCTTGCTGTGCCACCCAGACTGGAGTGCAGTGGTGGGATCTCAGCTCACTGCAACCTCTGCCTCCCAGGTTCAGGAAATTCTCCTGCCTCAGCCTCCAGAGTAGCTGGGATTACGGGTACCCACCTCCATGCCCGGCTAATTTTTTTTATAGGCATTTGCCCAGCTTTTGCATCATTTTAAACTCTGTGCCCTGGCCAGGCGCAGTGGCTCACGCCTGTAACCCCAGCATTTTGGGAGGCCGAAGTGGGCAGGTCACCTGAGTTCATGAGTTTGAGACCAGCCTGGCCAACATGGTGAAACCCTAACTCTACTAAAAAAAATAATAATAACACAAAAATTAGCCAGGTATGGTAGCCGGTGGCTGTAGTACCTTGGGAGCCTGAGGCAGGAGAATTGCTTGAACCCAGGAGGCAGAGGTTGGAGTCAGCCAAGATTGCGCCACTGCACTCCAGCCTGGGCGACAGAGTGAGACTCCACCTCAAAAATAAATAAACAAAATAAAAACTAACCAGGCATGGTGGTGCACGCCAGTGGTCCCAGCTACTCAGGAGGCTGAGGTGGGAGGATCACTTGAACCCAGGAAGCGGAGGCTGCCGTGAGCTATGATCACACCACTGCACTCCAGTGTAGGTGATGGAGTGAGACCCTGTCTCAAAGAAAAAAAAGTGTGGCACAGGACCCACTCGAAGGATGTTCATAAGGGAGAGGTAGTCTCCTTCCCCTCTTCCCCCTTCTCAGGGGATTGGGGGAGGTCAGGGGGACTCAGCAGTGGCTCTGTGGACCTCTGCTCCCAGCCTCGAGCTGCTGTGTGACCCTTGATGGAGCCCATACTGTCTCTGGGCCCATTTCCCCTCAGGGAAACGGGATCGGGAACCCCACATGAAACACACTCAATCTTTGCTGCAAGAGCATCTCTGGGGCTGGGCAGGTTGGCTCACACCTGTTATCCTAGCACTTTGGGAGACCGAGGCGGTATAGCAGGACGAACAGCAGACAAAAATCCTCAGACACCGGATTAAAGAAGGAAGTGGATTATTTGGCTGGGAGCGTCAGCAGACTCGCGTCTTAAGAGCCGAGCTCCCCAAAAAAGACATTCTTGGCCTTTTTAAAGGCTCACAAGTTTAAGGGGTCCATGCGAAAGGGTCGTGATAAATCGAGCAAGTGTGGGGAACATGACTGGGGACTACAGGCATAAGCTAACAGACCAAAAAGTTTTACAATGCTTTTTCCATACAGTGTCTGGAATTTACAGACAACACAAGTAGTTTAGGTCAGGGATCGATGTTATTATTATTACTTTTTTTTTCTTTTTTTTTTTTTTTTTTTGAGAGACAGAGTCTCGCTCTGTCACCAGGCTGGAGTGCAGTGGCACGATCTCGGCTCACTGCAAGCTCCGCCTCCCAGGTTCACGCAAGACTCCTGCCTCAGCCTCTGAGTAGCTGGGACTATGGGCACCCGCCACCATGCCCGGCTGATTTTTTGTATTTTTAGTAGAGACGGGGTTTCACTGTGTTAGCCAGGATGGTCTCAATTTCCTGACCTCGTGATCCGCCCACCTCAACCTCCCAAAGTGCTGGGATTACAGGCGTGAGCCACCACGCCCAGCCTGTATTTTTTTTTTTTTTTTTTTTTGAGACGGAGTCTTGCTCTGTTTTTGAGACGGAGTCTTGCTCTGTCACCCAGGCTGGAGTGCAGTGGCTGGATCTCAGCTCACTGCAAGCTCCTCCTCTCAGGTTCACGCCATTCTCCTGCCTCAGCCTCCCGAGTAGCTGGGACTACAGGCACCCGCCACCTCACCCGGCTAGTTTTTTGTATTTTTTAGTAGGACGGGGTTTCACCGTGTTAGCCAGGATGGTCTCGACCTCCTGACCTCGTGATCCGCCCGTCACGGCCTCCCAAAGTGCTGGGATTACAGACTTGAGCCACCGCGCCCGGCCCTATTATTACCTTTTTAACTCCTAGGGCCGGATGGTGGTGCCAAGGTTGTCTGGCTATTTATCTTACTTTTGTTTCTTTCTAACTGTTTGCTTTGTCTCTCTCCTCCTGTCTTGTGAACTAGGCAAGGTGGGGGGAGGAGGGCAGCAGGAGGAGTAGTGGGCTCCTTCCTTAGCCAGAGGATCGCCCCAGGAGTTTCCTGCAGGCTGCAGTGAGCTGCGATTGCCCCACTGCGCTCCAGCCTGGGCAATAGTGTGAGACCCTGTCTCCAAAAAAAAAAAAAAAAAAGACAGTTTTGACAGGCACACACTTCAGCTGGAATTTCACCCCGTGTCTGCTTTTCCTTGGGTTTTTTCCATTCTTGATTTTTCCATTTATGGTGATTTTATCTACAACGTCTTTTCTAAATAAATGCATCAAGGCAGTGAGGAAGGGGGAAGGGGGAAAGTGAGCCGATTCCGTTTTTTTCAAAGAAAAATCCAGCAGGCGCGGCTGTTACCAGGCGGGATGCGGGAGACGCTTTACTTTATTGGCCAGAGCAGGGAGGGGGTGGGGATTTGTCCACAGTCACACAGCGACGCGCGGCAGAGCCGGGAGGGTCCTCGCCCACACTCCACATTCGGGGGCCCTGGGATCGGGCAGGGGGCCGCTGGGGGCTCCTCAAGATGCTGCCACAGGAGGGGAGGCGGTTCCCTGGGAAGTGAAACCCACAGACCCCACTTTCACCTTCTCCAGGGACAGCCGCCACCACGTTCTGTGCCCTCCCTACGGTGGGCCAGCTCTGCCCCTCTGCCCATCTCACAGGGCTCCTCATTGCCCCTACCCCAGCCTGGCCTCTGAGGCTGTCAGCCCTGGTGCTATTGACTTTCAGATCCCACCTCCTGGGTCCTCTGAGGGCGGGCAGGGGAGGGGGTGGCCGCGGTGGGTGGGGAAGTGTTGCCGAAATGCCCCTGCCCCACCCCGGGCTGCGGTCTGACAGTTGACCGGGCGCTTTCCTGTCAGCTGCCGGCGCTAGGTCAGACCCCTCCTTCGAGGCCAGGGGCTGTGGCCATTGGGAGTTCGTCCCCCAGGACCCCTCCTCCCCCAGAGGGCACGCCAGTCTTGAAGGTAGGGGGCTCCTGGAGCGGGGAGCTGGACAGAAGCGGTCACTTTTTCAGGTGGGGATCTGGGCGGGGGTGGGTTGGGGCCTGGCTGCTGACAGCAACCGCACAGCTGAGCCCTCAGGGACGAGGCCTGAGCGTGGATCCCTGGGTCCCTGGACACTGTCTTCCCCACAACTGACCCCCAAAGACCTGTCCTCAGGCTGAACATTCTGTCCCCATCCCAAACGTGCAGTGGGGGTTCCTTCCCACTGCCTGGAAGATTAATGGGTGACAGACCTGCCTCATGATTGAGGAAGTGGGCCCAGAGAGGGCAGGAAACCCACTCGGGATCACACAGCAGGGGCCCAGAGAGGGCAGGAAACCCACTTGGGATCACACAGCAGGGGCCCAGAGAGGGCAGGAAACCCACTCAGGATCACACAGCAGGGTCAAAACTGGACAAGGGAGTGGAGTGTGGGTGCCCCTGTTCTCACCAAGGGCGCTGGAGCAGGGGGCCTCAACGGTCTCCCATGCTGCAGCACTCACGGACCCCTCCCATGTCGCCCTGTGCGTGCGCCACCCCACCACGCCCCGTCTGACCTTCCCCCAGCAACATGAGCAGCCCGGAGACCCCCACAGAGCCCCCTGAGCCCGACGACCCCACCTGGTCGACTCAGCCCACGTATAGCAACCTCGGTAAGCAGCTCCCCAGGGAGCCCTGGGCCGGGGGGGTGCAGGGAGTGGCAGGGGGTGGAGGACACCGTGTCCTCTGGGAACAGCAGCAGTTGGTAAAATGAGTGACCTCAGGAAGGCCCGGAGTGGGCAAGGGCTGAAAAATAACCTGTGGGTTGGTGGGCGGGGTGTGTTGGCTCACGCCTGTAATCCCAGCACCTTGGGAGGCCGAGGCAGGTGGATCCCTTGAGGCCAGGAGTTCAAGACCAGCCTGGGCAACATAATGAGACCCGCCCCCCCATCTCTACAAAAAAATAAAAAATAAGATGGACATGGTGTCAAGCGCCTGCAGTCCCAGCTACTGGGGAGGCTGAGGCAGGAGGATCCCTTGAGCCCAGGAGGTCAAAGCTGCAGTGAGCCATGAAAGAGAAAAAAATATATACCATTAAAAAGAGAGGCCAGGCGCAGTGACTCAAGCCTGTAATCCCAGCACTTTGGGAGGCCTAGACGGGCGGATCACGAGGTCAGGAGATTGAGACCATCCTGGCTAACACGGTGAAACCCCGTCTCTACTAAAAAAAAAACATACAAAACACTAGCCAGGCGAGGTGGTGGGCGCCTGTAGTCCCAGCTACTCAGGAGGCTGAGGCAGGAGAATGGCGTGAACCCGGGAGGCGAAGCTTGTAGTGAGCTGAGATCCGGCCACTGCACTCCAGCCTGGGCCAGAGAGCGAGACTCTGTCTCAAAATAATAATAATAATAATAATAATAATAAAAAGAGAGAGGGGCTGGGCACGGTAACTCATGCCTGTAATCCCACCCTTTAATCCCAGCACTTTGGGAGGTCAAGGAGGAGGATCACTTGAGGCCAGGAGTTCAAGACCAGCCTGGCCAACATGGCAAAGCCAGTCTCTGCTAAAAATACAAAAATTAGCCAGACACGGTGGTGCGCACCTGTAATTCCAGCTACTGGAGAGGCTGAGGCAGAAGACTTTCTTGAACCTGGGAGGCAGAGGTTTCAGGGAGCCAAGATTGAGCCACTGTACTCCAGCCTGGGCGACAGAGGGAGACTCCATCTCAAAAAAAAAAAAAATAAATAAAAAAAGGCCGGGTGCAGTGATCCAAGCCTGTAATCCTAGCACTTTGGGAGGCCGAGTCAGGCAGATCGCCTGAGGTCAGGAGTTTGAAACCAGCCTGGCTAATATGGTGAAACCCCATCTCCACTACTGAAAATACAAAAATTAGCCGGACATAGTGGCGGGCGCCTGTAATCCCAGCTACTCGGGAGGCTGAGGTGGGAGAATCGCTTGAACCCAGGAGACAGATGTTGCAGCAAGCCGAGATTGGGCCACTGTACTCCAGGCTAGGCAATAGAGCAAGACTTCACAAAAAAAAAAAAAAAAAAAGCCAGAGAGACACCTGCCCAAAGTCACAGAGGTAAGAGTAGGAGTCACTGAGTGCTGGGTGGCACCATTCTCTGAAACTGATCCATCCTCCTATGAGCCTCAGTTTCCCCTTCCGTAAGCTCTGTCCCCCAGACTGGAGTGCAGTGGCGCAATCTCAGCTCACTGCAAGCTCCGCCTCCCAGGTTCAAGCAATTCTCCTGCTTCAGCCTCCCGAGTAGCTGGGACTACAGGCGCCCTCCACCACGCCCAGCTAATTTTTTGTATTTTTAGTAACAGACGGGGTTTCTCCGTGTTAGCCAGGATGGTCTCGATCTCCTGACCTCATGATCCTCCCGCCTTGGCCTCCCAAAGTGCTGGGATTACAGGTGTGAGCCACCACGCCCGGCCGCGTCTGGCAAATTTGTTTAAATTTTTGCAGAGAGAGGGTCTCACTAGGTTGCCCAGGCTGGTCTCAGACCCTAAGTTCCAGTGATCCTCCTGTCTCAGTTTCCACTTTCCTAAGTACTGGGATTACAAGCATGAGCCACCGGCGCCCAGCCTTATTACTTCCATGTTAGAGATGGGGAAACCGAGACTGAGAGGTGGAGTCATGTGTCCCGTTCCCACTCCGCCTGTCTTCAACCCTCCCCACTGTCTCTCCCTGCAGGTGAGATCCGTGCCCACCTGCTGCCCTCCAAGGCCTGCCGCCCCCGGACCCCTGGGTCCCGCTCCACCGACCCACAGCCCCTGCCCCCACCCCTGCCCAAGAAAATCCTAACCCGGACCCAGTCACTGCCCAACCGCAGGATCCCCCATGCCAGCTCCATCCAAGTACAGCTGCCTCGGAGGCCCTTTCTGTGGTCCCACAGTGTGGACAAGAGCCAGGCTGAGGTGGGACCAGCTTGTCCCCCTGCAGAGCTGACCTTTGGCCTGACTGATGCCCCACTGGGCCTGTCCCTCCGCAATCTGCACAGTCCAGAGGCTGTGCACGCTGCATTGGCTGCCCGGCAGCTGCAGGGCCTCCGTGCCATCTATGCCCGGCTCCATACCCGGTTCATGGGGGGCCACCCCGGGCCCTGCCGCCCTGGCCACGGCTTCCGCCTCCTGGACAGCTCGCCCTGCGCAGAGAGTGGGGATGCCCTGTACTACCGCGTGGTGCGCGTGCATGACGACGCCTGGCACATCCTGGTCGCCAAGGTGAGACTCACGGCCCCACCTTCTCTGAGGTGTCCCCAGTGTCCCATCTTAGGCATAACCCAGGGCTTGTTTCGCTTGGCCTTTCTGTGAGTCAGTTCTCTCACTGCTGTAAAGAAATACTGGAGCCCAGCGCTCACACCTGTCATCCGAGCGCTTTGGGAGGCCACAGCGGGCAGATCACAAGGTCAGGAGATTGAGACCATCCTGGCTAACACGGTGAAACCCCCGTCTCTACTAAAAATACAAAAAATTAGCCAGGCGTGGTGGCGGGCACCTGTAGTCCCAGCTACTTGGGAGGCTGAGGCAGGAGAATGGCGTGAACCTGGGGGGCGGAGCTTGCAGTGAGCCAAGAATGTGCCACTGCACTCCAGCCTGGGTAACAGAGCGACTCTGTCTCAAAAAAAAAAAAAAAAAAAAGGCTGGGCAGCACAGTGGCTCACGCCTGTAATCTCAGCACTTTGGGAGGCCAAGGCGGGCAGATCATGAGGTCAGGAGTTCGAGACCAGCCTGGCCAACATAATGAAACTCCGTCTCTACTAAAAATACAAAAATTAGCCAGGCGTGGTGGTGTGCGCCTGTAGTCCCAGCTACTTGGAGGCTGAGGCAGGAGAATCGCTTGAACCCGGAGGTGGGGGTTGCAGTGAGCCGAGACTGCACCACTGTATTCCAACCTGGGAGACAGAGTGAGACTCTGTCTCAAAAAAAAAAAAAGTAAAGAAAAGAAAACAAGGAATACTGGAGACTGGGTCATTTATAGAGAAAAGAGCCTTAACTGGCTCATGGTTCTGGTGGCTTCTGCTTCTGGAGAGGCCTCAGGAAGCTTCCAATCATAGTGGAAGGCGAAGCGGGAGCAGCCATCTCATATGGTAGGAGCAGGAGGAAGGGAGGGAGGAGGTGCCATGCACCTTTACACAGCCGGATCTCACGAGAACTCACGCGCTATCCCAACGACAGTGCCAAGGAGGATGGTGCGGAGCCATTCATGATAAACCACCCCCAAGATCCAGTCACCTCCCACCAGATCCCACCTCCAACACTGGGGATTACAATTGCCATGAGATTTGGTGGGGACACAGATCCAGACCATATTAGACTTGTTTATTTTGCAACTAACATGTGAATCAATACAGTTAACCCAGGAAACCACGTTTCTAAAGTGTGGGGCCATGGATATGGCCTTGGAGCCCTTGTCAAAACCCCTCCCACACCTCTGTGGCCGGGGATCTATTTGTTTTGTTTTGTTTTGTTTTGTTTTGTTTTTTGAGACAGAGTCTTACTCTGTTGCCCAGGCTGGAGTGCAGTGGTACGATCTCCCCTCACTGCAACCTCCGCCTCCTGGGTTCAAGCGATTCTCTCACCTCAGCCTCCGAAGTAGCTGGGATTACAGGCGCGCCACCACGCCCAGCTAGTTTTGTATTTTTAGTAGAGACGAGCTTTCCCTGTGTTGACCAGGCTGGTCTCGAACTCCTGACCTCAGTGATCCCCCTGCTTCCCAAAGTGCTGGGATTACAGGCGTGAGCCACCGTGCCCGGCCCAGGAATCTGCTTTCGAACTCATTGCCCAGGGACACTGCCACCATCTTCTTCCCTGGCTTAATTTTCCTAAAAGCCCTTACTGGTGACTAACTTCCCAATTAACATCGACCTCCTGCTGCTGGAGGGATGCAGGCAGTCTCCCACCCCCAGCCATAGTGGGGGCAGTTTGGGGGTGTGCGGGGGAGACTTCGTGGCAGGTCGCTCTGGGGCGGGCAGTGCTGGTGGGGGGCCCAGTGATTCAGGCCCCGACACCCCCTCTGCCTTGCAGGTACCCAAGCCCGGGGCGGACGTGCCCCACCCGTGGGGCCTGGAGCTGCAGGCCTCCCTGTCTCCACACTTCAATCTGCAGGGGTTGTGTGGCGTGGTGCCTGAAGGCACACTGCCCGGGGCGCCCTGGAGAGGCGCGGTGGCGCTGGCAGCAGAGGTGCCGGAGCGCACGGTGGCGCAGTGGCTGATGGAGGCCTGCACGCAGCCGCCGGAGGAGTTCGTGTGGGCCGTGGCCCTGGTGCTGCTGCAGCTGAGCGCGGCCCTGGAGTTCCTGGAGGCGTGGGGCGCGGCCCTGGTCGAGTTGCGGCCAGAGAACTTGTTGCTGGCGGCACCTCGGGGCTGTGCGGCGACTGGGCACCCGCGCCTACTCCTCGCTGACTTTGGCCGCGTCTGTCTGCAGCCCCCCGGACCCCCGGGCTCCCCGGGCCCCCACGCGCCGCAGCTGGGCAGCCTCCTCCGCGAGATGCTAGGCCTTGCTGCGCCCTCGACCACGCCTTTGGCCGCGGGCCTGGAGCGCCTGGCAGCACAGTTGACCCGCTTGCAGCCCTCGGCGTCCCGGACGCGGGGCGCGCTGCAGGCGCTGCTCTGGGGACCCGGCCCGGAGATGCGCGGCCGCGGAGCACCGCTCAGTCCCTGGCTCAGGGCGCTCGGGCCCTGGCTGCGGTTGCGCCGCGGGCTGCTGGTCCTGCGCCTGGCAGAGCGGGCCGCAGGTGGGGAAGCGCCCAGCCTCGAGGACTGGCTGTGTTGCGAATACCTGGCCGAGGCCACCGAGTCCTCTATGGGCCAGGCCCTGGCGCTGCTGTGGGACTGAAGCCAACCCAGGGCGAACACACCAGGTCCAGGCCTGCCCAGGAGGCAGGGCTGGGGCTGAGGTCAGCGTCTCTATGATAGCCAAGACAACCTCTTCCTGCAGAGTCCAGGGACGCAGCAGAAAGAGCAGCGCCCCCCTCCAGGGTCTCCCCTCTCGTGCTGGCGATGTGGGTCAAGGGCTTCCCAGGAGTGCAGCTACCCCTCCAGGGCTGGGGGCTGGCCAGCGCCTGCTGTGTGGGCAGCAGCTGTCTGAAGCCAGGGCCCCCAGGCCACTTCCAGGTGTGGACACCCCCGCTGATGAGTGTCTCTCTGTGTTCCGCTTTCCCCAGCAGCCAGGGCACTTTTCCGCGGTGAGTCTTGTCATTGTCTCCCTGAGAGGCCAATGCCGGGACCAGAGCATTCCTGGCCCTGGAGCACCCCCTTGTGCTGAAGACGGCCAGCGATTTTGGCCATGTCCCTAGTGGAGAATTGTTTGGTGGTGACACAGGAAGGGAAGGCTCCCTGGGACCTTAGACACCCAGCTCATCTCAGAGGCGTCTGGACTCACCATCCCTAAAACAGTCCCCGCGGTTCCCTGCCACCTCCTTACAATCCCTCTGCACCCACCCTGCCTCCCTTCCTGTTCCTCCATGACACACTAACTTCTTTCCCACCCCCAAGCATCTGTGCAGGCTGTTCCCTCTGCCATACTGTTCCAGTTCCACTTTATCTAAACGAATAAAGGTGCCCCCTCTGGGCCCTCGCTAGCTCCTTACCCTTCGTTCTCCGCCCACTCCCAGGAGCATTTATTCCTCTGTTACTGTCCCCAAGGCTGTGAGTTCCCTGGGGGCAAAGGCCAGGCTTGGCACACGGTAGGTGCTCACTTAATACTGCAGGATGATGGAATAAACAGGCACAGAGTAGACTCACTGGAGGGGAATGCAGTCTTTATGCCTCTGACACACCGCACTGCACTTGCCTGTGGCCTCCTTCCTGGAGACTCAGAGTTGCCCTTCCATTCCATTCCCCATGGCAGTCCTGGGAGGATCTTTCCAACCCCAGATATGAGGTCCCTCTCCAGCTCAAACACCTCCCATGGCTCCCCAGTGCCTCAGAATACATACAGGTCTCTTCCAAAGTCTCCTCAGTCTCCAACCCCACGTCATTTATCCCTGTACTTTCCGGCCTCTATGCCTTTGCCCAAGTTGTTTTTAACGCCGGAAATAGCCCCCTCTACTCTGGTTCAGACTCCTATTCATCCTGCAACGCCTCAGCTCTAACACCCCTTCTCTGCATTTGCACTGCCCAAATGAGCTGAGAGTGTCTGTGTTCACATCTATCTTCCCAGCCGACCCCACCATGCTCAAACGGCTGAATATCCCCCTGCCCCCGCTCGCCAAGGCTACAATCTCTTCGAGTGCCTTTCCTCCTCTTTCCAATCGGTTTCCCGGCCAGGCCTGGCCCTAACTTTCCGGGTGATGCTCCCGGATGCGGCCGGCAGGTGGCGCAGCCCCGCGCAAACGGCGGGGGTCGCAGACCCGGAAGCGCTCCAGGCCTTGACGCCACCGGAAGTGCTCCTGACCTGAACCCTGAACAGCGCTGCAGGTCCCCGGGCGCGGCCAGTAACACGGTGACCCAAAGGAGTCGGGAACAGACATCCCCATGCGCAGGCCCGGGGGGGGCGGAAGGGGACGCGATGCAGGAAGGGGCTCCAAGCGAACAGTGGCAAGGCTGACGCCAAGCTGAGGGCCCAGGCCTCCCAGCCCAGGGGGTCTCCTCCGTGGGAGGGGTCCTGCAGCTGCCCTGGTGACAAGTCCCCTGCGACCCCTCTACCCAGGGCCCTCTGTGGTCCCAGGCACTCCTCCCACCAGCCCCCGGCGTCACCACCACGGAGCCATGTGCATCGGGTGTAATCACTTTATTGGTTTTCGGAGAGCAATAGAGGGGATTAATACCTAATCTTTCCAAGTTAAAAGACTAAGACTGTTTCCAAAAGACTCCAAATAAGAAACTTCTCCTCAAAGTACAAGGATAATCTGAATCATCTTAAACCAGCAATAAAAAAGTAAAATATAAATTTTTATTTAGAATTAAAGCAAATACTTCAGTATCACAAACACAATATTAAACTTCAAGAAATATACGCTAATTTGGAGTGAGCATTTATTTGCACAATTACAACATGCGGACAAACCCAGGCGAGATGAGCGAGTCTACGGTTTCCACCCACCCGGCTGACAAGGGGTGGCCCCAGGGGCCAGATGCCCAGCCCACAGGCGGCCCTACTCCTCCTCCTCCTCCTCTCCCGAAGACTCTCTCTCGAACGTGTAGGCCATGAAGCAAGCGTCGGGTCTCTTGGGGACAAGGGGATGCCCCGGTCTCACAATCTCAAAGCCCAAAAAGCTGAAGGTTCGGAGCAAGGCGGCTGTGGGGGAGAAGCCGTCAGAAACCCCGCCGCCCAGGAGCCCCCACCCGCCCCCCACACCCCCGCCGGGAGAAAATGAAGGTGCATGGCAGGTGCCCCCACACACCCTGCTGAAGGCGATGCGGGTCACCTACCTCTGTCCTCGCGGTTCTTGTGGAAGCAAATGAAGACATGGTCGGCTCGCAGCTGCTCCTCAGCGAATTCCAGGAGAACTGCAAAGCTGCAGCGGGTGTCAGAGTCTTGGCTAGCCCGACCCGCCCACCTACCTCCTGGGCCTTAGCAGCTACCCTGAAGCCCACTCTACTCCAGGGTCCCCCTGGGGCCCGGATCGTTCTCTGGGTGGGGCCGTCCTGACACCGCCGTGGTGAGCAGCACCGCTGCACCCACCCACGTGCATGGCCCGGGACAGAAAGGCTCTCACACACTGCCCGGTATCCCCTGGAGGGTGGAATCCCAGGGTACAAACTTGGAATGCACTTTTTAAAAAGGGATCCCAGAACGGGAGCGGTGGCTCACGCCTGTAATCCCAGCACTTCGGGAGGCCGAGGTGGGCGGATCAAGGGGTCAGGAGTTTTGAGACCAGCCTGGCCAACACAGCGAAACCTCGTTCTCTACTAAAAACACAAAAATTAGCTGAGCATGGGTGGCGGGCGCCTGTAATCCCAGCTACTCGGGAGGCTGAGGCAGGAGAATCACTCGAACCCGGAAGGCGGAGGTTACAGTGAGCAGAGATCATGCCATTGCACTCCAGCCTGGGCGACAAGAGTAAGACTCCCTCTCAAAAAAAAAAAAAAAACAAGGGGGGCCCATCCCAACCCACACAGCGATGGTGGCCCCCATATTTGCTGCCTGAAGGCAGTGCCCTCCCTCATCTGTCCCTGCCACCCTGGGCAAGCACCCCTCCCCCCCGTCCCCACCCTCACCTGTCCTTGCTCCCCTCAGGCAGCGCGCCGCCCGGGATCTCGATGTAGAGGCTGCCTCCACTCAGCACTGTTCGCCAGTTAATGCGTTTGGCGTCTGTGAGCCTGGACTGGACGTTGAGAATCCTCGTCTTGTCGTTGGACGTTAGTTCCTCTGTTACATTCAGCCGATCATCCTGTCCGGGGGACGGTGCAGCGTAATTCAGAACCCCGACTCACCCCACGGGCAAGAGACCGGTAGCGCTAAGGCTTGGGCCTAAGCCGTGTTCAGCTCAAGCAAGGCCTGGGGTGCAGACTGTGCCCCCTCTCTGATGAAACTCAGAAGGGTTCCCAGGATTAAATTCAATCACAGGTACCGGCAGCGAAGTGCACAACAAGTGCCAGCGGCCCCAGAGCAGCCCCAGCCCCGCCCACCCCAGCGCCGTACTCACGGAGTAGAATAAGTTAGCTGAAAGATTGTGATCCCTCTGACTATTCCCTCGCCCACCTGGGATCTTCAGGGGTGGGTGAGGGGCATCAGGAGCACCACCGAGGCCCCGGACCCGGGTTACTACAGCAGCGGAGGGAGACCCTGGAACTGAAGGCAGATGCGATCACCAGGCAGCGCCAGACTCCCGGCGGAGACCCCTCCAGGGCGCCCGGACGGTCTTCGGCCACCCACCCCCACACCCCCGGGGCTTCCCAAGGGCAGCTCCAACGCCTGCCCCAAGCACCTACAACGGCATCGGTCACTGAGCCCCGACGTCTCGGGCGGCGCCACCCGGGATAGCCCAACCCTCCCAGGGCGGAGTGGGTCCCTTCCCCTCACGTAGCCCCGCCGGGACAGAGCCTCACCCCCCCGCCACCGCGCCAGCCGGCGCTTCCCCTTTTCAGCTCGGCCGCGGCTTCCCCTTTCCACCCTGCACTGCGGTCAGAATCTGGAACCCTTGCTTGTCCTCGCGAGGAGGGGGCGGGCCTGGCCTGACCTCGCGGAGGACTCGCCCCGCTACTGCTCCTGGCCGCCCCCCGCCCGCCCCCGCTCCGGGCCCGGGCCCTCCCGGTTGCGTCATCTAGGCAGACGCGGCCCCGCGCCCCAGGGGAGATTTTCACAATCGCGCAGCCGGCAGCGCCAGCAGCCATTTGCTGCGCGGTGTAAACAGGCCCCAAAGTTGCCTCCATTTTGCACGGCCCCCAAACCGTGGCACCGCCAGCACCGCGGCCCAACTTCCCGATCCCCGGGACTCAGCGACGCCCACCTCGGGAAACGCAGTCGTGGAAGCTCGACCGAAATCCCGCGGGCTCCCCCACAACCGCAGCTGGCACCCGCGTCCCCGGAAGCGGGACGCGTCGTCCCGGGAGGCGGCGGGGGACTTCCCAGGGCGCTGCTGGGTTGTCGGAATGCGCGACCCCCGGCTCCCCGACGGCCCCCGCGGAGAACAACTGGGTGCCGTCTACGTACGCGCCCTCGCCCCGCGCGTCCCCGGCCATCCAGACCGACTCGCTCTGGGGCGAAAAACGGGGCCCACGAGGTCGGTTGCGTGCGGGGGCCACATCGAGGCGCAGGAGACCCAAGGGAGCTCGTCCGCCGCGAAGCGCTCCCCGCTCCGGCAACGCACGCTCAACGGCCGGGACCGAAAAGTGCAGATTCACCGGCCCTGCGGGCCCTGCCTGACCTCGGACCGGCCCCCCAAGGCCGACCCCGCCCCCAACCAGATTGCCCCATCCTGCGCCTCCCAAATCCGTCCAGCTCGCACACCCCTCCTCCAAACCGTATTTCCAGTCTGCGTCCCCCAAATCCAACTCTCTCCCCTCCTTCAAAGCCGAGTCCCATCCTGCGAACCCCGCAAAACACACACACCTCCCCGACATTCCCCGTCCTGCGCCCAAATCCGACCTCCGACTCATGCCCCACCCCCAAATCAGGCGCCCCGGACGGCGCCCCCCAAATCCAACTCCGCACCCGTGACCCCCAAACCCGACCCAAGAGCTATGCCAAGGCCGGGGGGAC